TATTTGTTGCTGAATACATGCCATATATGCAGCAACAAATAATATATTCAATAAAATGACTCCAAAACTCCGGTTTGTCGCTTAACTATCCATATGGATGGTTAAGCGACATCCATATGGATGGTTAAGCGAAATAAATACAGCCTTTGCAACAAAATTTAAAAAAATGAGTTTGTATTAAATGATTTATGTAGTATTTCCTTGCAAGCAACAGTATAGGACCATGTCTTTCCCTGCCATGACTTTAAGAAAACTTTTAACTTTAAAACTTTTCAACTCCGAAATCGTAACAGATTTAAATTTAGAGTTCTCGGATTAGTAATTTTTCTCAATTGTTAAATAATTTATGTTGCTCAAATTTGAGTAAAATTTTTTTTCCCAATACTTTTAATTAACTCCTCGTCTCTGTTTGTCTGTGAGCATAAATCAATTAATTTAGTTAATTTTTATTAAGTTTATTTTTATATGGAAAAAAGAATAATAACTTTCATAATAAGTATATTAATTGTTTTCTACCTTTACGCGAGTTTAGCTTTTTTGGGCGTAGTTGTTCAAATAAAAATGAAGAAGTCATACTAAATAGCATAAGATGGCTAAATAAAGTCTAAAAGAAAAAAAAAATCTATATTTTTGAAGTTTTAACCTTTATAAACAATAAAAATATATAACAATGGAAGAAAAGGTTATAAATTTGCCCTAATTTTGTTCCTCAAAATAGGGCAAACATCCAAAAATTCCTTAGCAACGGCCTTAGCAACAGTTAGAACTTCTTTTCTCCAGAACTTAGGCAGTTTTTCTCCAAAATTTTAGTATACTTTAACCAGGTTGTTATCTACACTGTAAAGTTTTTCCCGAGCTAAATGCCAGCTGCCAAAACACTAAATAAGACCGTATTTGTATTAGTAACATAATTTGTTTTTGAAAAAATCTTGTTTGTTAACCAGAGTTATTAGGCATTTATGTTGATGATGTTATTGTAATATGGGATCTGAAAACAGATATAAAAAAGCTAGAGCTAAGTAAAGACGTTTTTATAAAAGTAAATCTTTAGACATCAACATTACTCCAGATGATTCACCAACAGTTGCACATACATCAGCTTCTTCTAACAAAATCGATTTATCTTTTTTGGAAGTAAAAAACACAACTCAAAAAGAAGCCTGTAATAATAACTTTAATTTAATTGTGAATTCAAATTTGCTAATTAATTTACTTAGCATGATTGATCGGTGCCCAAATTGCACAGCTGAAATTAAAGTTTTTCATGACATGGAAAACAAAAAAGGACTTGCTCACATTTTCCTTCTCTCGTGCAACGAATGTGATTGGAATACACATTTTTTAACTTCTAAACCAATTATAGAGGATCATGGAATAAATGGTCGTAAATCCTATGAAGTAAATTACTTGTTAATAATGGCTTTTCGTGAGATAGGTTGTGGTTATACTGCTATGAAAAGGTTTTGTTCTATTATGAATATGCCTCCACCAATGAATTCGAAACCATTTGAGACTGCAAACAAGAAATCACAGGATTCATATATTGAGGTAGCAGAAAATTCAATGAGAAATGCAGCAATTGAAATCAGAAAAGATGTGCTCAATGATACCTACCATAAAGATGCAGTTGTCAACATATCTGCAAGTACAGATGGATCATGGCAACGTTGTGGGTATACATCTCTAAATGGTGTAGTCACCCTCATATCTAACGGAAAGTGTGTTGACATTAAAGTTCTGTTCAAAATGTGTAAGTCTTGCAGTTTTTGGGAAAAGAAACAAGAGTCAGCTGACTACAAATTGTAAAAACTTAGCCACAACTGTAAAATCAACCATGTAGGCAGCTCTGGCGCTATGGAAGTAGAAGGTGCAATAAAGATTTTTGGTCGTTCAGTTATTAATCGAAATTTACGATACACTACTTACATTGGTGATGGTGATATCAAGTCATACCAAAAGTTGTTGCATCAGATCCTTATTCAGGCTTTGAAATAAAAATAGCAGAATGTGTAGGCCATGTACAAAAGTGATGTGGTGCACAGTTAAGAACTTTGCGAATAAACTATCGAGGTAAACTGTTATCAGATGGTAAACCTTTGTCTGGTAAAGGTCGCCTTACTGACAAAGTAATTAATAGGCTACAGAATTATTATGGTTTGGCAATACGCCAAAATACAGATAGCCTTTACCAAATGAATTAAGCAGTTGGTGCTATAATTTTTCATTGTTGTGAAAATGATGACTCAAAGAAACGTCATGAACTCTGTCCGATAGGAGCCAAGTCTTGGTGTAAATATAACTTTGACCTTGTCACAGGCAAAAATACTTATAAGTCCAATATAAATCCTCAAGCAGTTGCAAATATCCTTAAACCAATCTTTTCATATCAGGATCTTGCAAATAAAAAAAGCTGCTGGAAAAATGTTTGCACGGTAAAACTCAAAATGTTAATGAATCTTTGAATGGCATGATATGGACCAAAGGTTCGAAAAGAGTTCTTACAGGAAAAGATTCTTTAGAGATGGCTGCAGCATCTGCTGTCATTTGCTTCAATGAAGGTTCCCAGGGACTACTCTCTATATGTTCATAGATTGGTATTGTACCAGGAAAGTATACTTTGAAAGGACTTCTAAATATTGATGTTAAACGCATTAGGGAGATGAACAAAAAGTCAGCAGAGCTAGTCAAAAAATGAAGGAAAAAACTAAGATCAATTAAAAAAGTTTACAATGATAACACAACAGAAAACGAGGGTGAATGCTATGCTTCTGGTTCTTTTACATGAACTGTTTATTGTTTTTTTGTGTTTATTATATTTGTTTTTTGCGTTTTTCTCCATTTACAAATTTTCTACTTTCTAACAAAGATATCTTTAGTTTGAAATAATATCTTAAGTCGAAATTTTTTACAGAGTAAAAATCTAGTTAGATGAATGTGCTTAGTCAAAAATATTTGTAGTATAGTATCCCATTCAAATTAAAATTTAGGTAAATCGGGCCATTTTTTACTTGCTTTAAGGATTTATACTAAATTGTGAATTTCAGAGCTTTAAATAAAAATATAAATTTTTTTTTTGACTCAGCACACATTTCATATGATAATCAATATTTTTGAAAAGTTTCACTTGATTTGGAAAACTCTGCATTTAGTTATCCTTGTTAGAAAGCATACTGCTTTTGAGTTAATTATGCGCATAATTAATGACGTAATAATGAAAATATAACTTTTTTGTATTTTTTGTCTTATTTAATTCTGATGCGTGTTGTTTGTAGTACACCAGTTTAGTTTAGTTACAGCACTTACACAGCAACTTAATTGTACAGTAATTACAAATTATTCTAAACAATTTATTAAGAAAAAAAAAGTATTTTCTGATAACCATACCCAATCATACCCTGACCCTTAAGGTCAAAGTTTAGTTTTAATAAAATAATATTTATGGTTAGGCTATGGTTTTCATTAACACTTAATTTTCGCGTGACTAGTTTTTTATAGGCTGATGCGTAGAATACATGTCCGCCGACAAATATGTGTTTTCTGGTGTTAACTGCTAATATCGATTCTGTTATTAGTCTTAAACGTAATCGTCCAAGTAATCGTTATTTAACCACGCAGAAAAATTGATATTATTATTAATATTTATATTATTATATTAATTCCAATAATTTTTATATTAATAATATTATATCAATATTGTTGGTCATAAGTATTTACATTTACCTAAAAATAAGAAGGATATGATAAAACGATCCAGTTTACCAATTAACAGGTTTATCATAAATGAGTTTTAAAATAGTTCAAATAAAAATGAAGAAGTCATACTAAATAGCATATTACACTATGCAGGAATACAGGAAGTATGGAAGGAAGACCATTTTGAAAATGGTAATATTAACAATAAATTGAAAGAGGATAAAAAAAGTTAAGTACGATTTTTCAACTTTCACTTTTTTGAGCTCAAAAAACAAGTAATGAAAAGTTCTAGCTAATGAAATTTTTTTAAAAAAAGTCTCTATGAGTGATAGCACGTTTAACTGTAGCGTTACACACTTTTGTAACTTTGTTGAAAGTGGGTAATGCTTTGTTTCGTAACTGTAGCATTACCCACTTTCGTAACTTTTTTTTCTTTGCTTAACCAGTTGTAGCTATCTTTAATTTTACAATAAATTATGACTATATAATTAAAGATTTTAATGTGTAAGGATTTGAACTGTCAGACGGGACGAAATTTCGGTCTGAAACCTTGCCCGTGCTGATTTCACTAATGTAACCAAACCCTTAGGTACGCTGTTTTTTGTTGTTGTTGTTATTGTTGTTGTTTTTGTTGTTGTTGTTACTGTTATTGTTGTTGTTGCTGTTGTTATTGTTGTTGCTGTTGTTGTTACTGTTATTGTTGTTGTTGCTGTTGTTATTGTTGCTGTTGTTGTTGTTGTTGCTACTGTTGTTGTTGTTGTTGTTTTAATTATTTGTCATGGTCTTATAATTTTATTATTTGTTATATATGTTGCAACCTTTTTAGCTTCAAATCATTAAAAATTAAAAGAAAGATTCTTAATTTTAAATAAATTAAATTTTCTCACAAAGATTAAAAGTTAATCTTATTTATCTGTAACTAGCCGCGAAAGCAGAAATAAAAACTAAAAAAAAAACAGAGGTAACAAGTATAATAATTTTTACTACTCAATAACATTTATCATTGTGTTTTTCACCATTTTTTAACATATTTTTTTGTAGTTAGTAAAAAAAAAAACATAAAATACACTTGCACAAACAAACATTTTTACATCATATTCTTATGCAGATTTGTAACTTAAAAGTTTGAGTTAATATTGATTCAACTTCAATTTTTAAGTATAACTTTTTTTTTATGTTACAACTAAATCTAGACTTTCCGTAACTGACTAAATCAGTATATAACTTGTACTTTTTTGAGATTTTACGACCAAGCACACACACAAATAAAATTTTCATATAATAAAATATTAACTAAAAAAAGTTAC